TCAGTTCTTAAAACTTTGATAATTTTAGAGAATTGAGTTTTGACCCTGATAGCAAAATCAATATAAAGTCATGATAATTTAGAGCAATTTTTCATAAAATATATTCAGGTAAAATGTGTATGATTATCGATAAATAACACAAAGTACTTAGAACTGGAACCCCCCATAGTGGTTATTGGAGATGGGCCCAAACATCAGAATGACTGTAATCAAAAGAGGCACGCAAGTAGAAAGAGAATGACTATTCGAAAAAGATAAAGTTGGTTGTTTAGCAGATTGCCATGACACACAATGTAAGAATTTATTTGGAATAGATCCTAATAAATCACGAGAGATAAGAGGACAGAGACTGAGGTGTGTTCGAGCCGTGAGTGCCATAAATGGAGGGGAGAAATGTTAGTAACAACATTGGTTTGGAAGATTTGTTGATATGGAATTTGCAAAGACTCTAACTCAACAACACAAAGTAGCGTTTAGATGAATTGATCATTTGGAAATGATGGTGTATCCATTTTATGATAAGGAATATGTAGATAGTAGAGCTTGAACATATGCCCCACCTTGCGATCAATTCTAACAAGTTGTTTTGTCTATAAGTCCTACACATGACAACTATGAGTAGAAAATGTTAATTCAAGACCAAGATCACATAATTGACCAACAAATAGAAGATTGTAACTAAGTTTTAGAACCAAGAGAATGTTTGGTAAAGTTAATGAATTTTTGGAAATATTGCCAATATAACTAATATTCATAGGGGAGCCATTAGCAGAATAAATGTTAAGAAAGAAATAATTTGGTGACATTGAAAAGAAATAAGCAGTAGTTGAAGATATATGATTATAATAACTAGAATCAAAATACCAAGGTTTAGTACCTGGAGCAATAGATAAGGCAGTAGAAGCATTAAATAGATTGGTTGACAATAGATTGGTTTATCACTTCTTTAGCAATCATAACAGTAGCAGGATGAGTCAAAGTTCTTTCAAAACTTGCATAAAATTAGTAAAACTCACAATATTGAAACAAAATCTCCAAAAATATGAAGAAATAGATGTCAAAATTGAAATAATAACTCAACAAAATATCTCAAAAAAGGCCTGAAAATTAAGAATAAATAATCCAATCTGGAGGAGAAGAGATCCCAATGATAGAGTTCTAAATTCGGAATGGATATGAAAATGCAACTAAAAAAACCAAGCAATGATGATAAAAGAGAAGAACCAAGAGCTTATAGCTTTGATACCATGTTAGAAACTTAGAGAAGAGAAAAATCTAAAGAAATGTTTATTGCTTTCTTGAATTATATTGTATATACAATGACTTATATATAGGTATTTACAAAAAGAATATTTTAAGATAGAAAATATTTATACAATAAATGTGAATAGCATGAATGTAATATGAATAATTGATTGTTAATTATTGTGTTTACATCTTAACACTCACTTCCAGACCCCTTCGCCCCAAAAACCCAACTCACTTACTCTTGCATCCACCCTCCTTACAAGATTCTTTAATCTAGGAAACTCATCATGCTGTAAGCTTCCTTCACCAACCCACTTATCTTTTCTGAAACTTAATTCTATTACCGTCACTACAAGAAAGATCACATTCAGTGACTAATTTATTAGTCACTAAATCTTTATTTTTCGTCACAAGTTAAAATTAGTGATGGAATTTAAATCGTTAATAAAACCTTTGTTACTAATGTTCTTAATGACGATTTTGGTACCTGTTATAGAAA